AATGAGTTTACATCTCAAATAACAAAAGGTATATTTTACTTTTTCCAATAACAGTGAATTCCAAAGAAGTTGTTAACCATAGAAGTACGAGTATTTATCGAATTTCCGAACAGCCTTTCATATGTCGAATTAAAGTTGTGAATTCCTGATGAATTCAAGAAGTTGAGAACCTAATTGCTCAAAAGTTAGACACCAGCCACACAAAGTGTGCCTGAGAACAACACAGGGTCACAACAACCAGCGAACAACAAACAACAAACAACAAACAGCAAACAAATAACGGGGAACAACACACACAAAACACACATTTAGTGGCCATCCTTTTCGGTGGCAGAGTGTGTGTGCGTGTGTTTGTGTGTGTGTGCGAGTGTTTGGTCCAATGGAGAATTCTACAGATGCCGCGCATTGTTCGGGGGCAACCTTTTTTCGGGCCCTTTGATTTATTGGCATCCCCGGGCCAACGCCTTAAATATTTTTCCCCGCCTTCTCCCCCTCGCAAAATCACCGAGGGTTGGTCGAATGCTTTGACCAGTTGCTCGGATGATTCCTCCTGCCCCACTTTCGATGCGGTTCTGTTTGGTTCGGTTCGGTTCAGCTCAGTTCAGTTCGTTTGGCTATCCAAATCACGCTTATTGAATTTCATTTTTATCCTGGTCTGCTCTTTTTGTTGTGTTATTAATGGGCCGCCCCACCCACTCGCCGATTAAAGCTTGGCCCAAACTTTGGGCGAGCTGTCAAAAGAAATATTTTAAATCATCCTCGGTCCCGGAAAATCCCATCGTGGCCCATATATAATAATTTTGCCACTCAAAGCAGATGTGTTTTATTAAACATTTTCCGATAAGCATTCTGCACTGCATAAGCAGCGATTTATTTTATTTCTTGGTTTCTTTTCCTTTTAGGATTTGCTTTGATGTTTTGTTTTTGTTCGATTTTGTCTGTGTACTTAAGTCTTAGCTCCATTTTCGTAGATGTATTTTGGTAAATACCCTGTCGGGACCGCAACTTGTTTTGCAATTAAACGCGGCGCAAACGGCGTCTGCAACAGGTGCATGGCACGCATCACGTATCCGCCCCGTGGGTTGCGTGCGTGTTTTATTTATGGGGAACTACCCCTCCCACCCCTTCACCCCTCCATCCCTTTAAATGCAATAAGCAAATGAGCGAACAACGAACGATCCAAGCGGCAACAACCAAAAAAGCCTCAAGAAAATGACGTTGCACGCACACGACGTTGAAAAGTCATTAAGTACAAATGACGTTGCTCACTGCAAAAAGCCTTTCTCCGAGCGGCAAGGGCGGCACGGGGGGCAACGTTGGTAAGGGGGCGTGGCAGGGAAAGAGGCTCAGGTTGGAGCCGTAATTGCAGCACGTTTGAGCACAGCTAACTGCATATTGAGTAATGCCCGCGAGCAAACGACAACGATGGCAGCAGGATTGGTTGTGCGGCGAAAAAGGGTTGAGAGACGGGGCCTCCAAGTTGGGTGGGGATTGGATTGCTGCTCGGTTTTCGACGGGTGGTGTGCGGCAGGATGGTGGTGGCTGTTGCAACGTTTGCCTTGCATTATTTATGACAAAACGGGCACCAAATTAAGACCCACTGGAAACCAGGCAAGTCGAGCAGAAGTGCTCGAATCGGGCGAACAGGCCCACCATGGGGAATATCATTAATTTAAAGCTTGATTTATACATTTTTAGGGCGGATTCTAAAATGGTTGAAGACCTAAAAATGCCCTTAATCGTTGGGGTGGTATATAAGTTAGAGTTTAAAATATTTTAACTGATCTCTTTGATTTCAAAATATAACTTTTAGTGTTACAAAATGCTGAGCTGTGGTAAACAATTTAGTTTTGATTATGGTAATGTTTATATGTTTATTAATGTTTATCTTATTTTATTTTGATTTTAATTATTTAGAACTTAAAGGGTATTGATGTTTTCAGTTCCTGGAATTTAGCACTTTAAGGGTCTTATATCAAAAGTTCATAAAGAAACCAGTAAACCAGTTACAGAACGAGAACCCACTGATACCTTTTGCACAGCCCTGAAATTGTATCCTGTGCCTATGCCTTCGTCAGAGGATCCCAGGATGCGAGGAGCCGTGTGGCTTTGAGTGTGCGGTTGACTCAGGGTCCCAGTGTGTTCAAGTGCTGGCTTTTATTTACTTCGCGTAATTTAATATTGTGCCATGGCAACGATGACGACCCAGTCGTGCATCCACTGAAAGCATAAATAATCTGTTGCACGGCCAGAGATTCGTGAATGTGTGCGTATCCTTTGCCATTTGCTTTTTGTTAAACCCCGCTTAATTAATTTGTGCTTTCAGCAACACGAACGCCAATCGCTTTTGGCCAAATGTCAACTGGCGAATTGGGCAGCTGACACTTGTCGATAAACCCGTCCGCGTCCCGCCGGCCGTTGTCCGTTGTCCGAATCAATTAGGAGCCCTTCACGTTAATCGCGCCATACATCAGGCGCTCTATCTCTAGCCATATCGCTGGCCATCCCGCCCTAATCCCCCCGAGGGTCGTAAGCGATACCCGGATCTTGACAAAAGGCCCGAAAAGGTCGTTGACAGGCGGCGGAAGTCGGCGGGGGAAAAAGGACAAATCAGCACGCAACATTTTTCGCGCGCGCTGTTGCTGGTCCTGGTTTATTTTTTTATTCGGGTGCTAATGAAGGACCAAAAGGGAGCAGAACAAAAGGCGTGAAAGTCAACGAAACCGAAGCCAAAGTGTTAAAGTACGATAAAAAGATTAAAGTGCACAAACAAACACACGGACACACTGGAAGAAAAGCGGGACGACATCCGACGACAGCTGCAACCTCCGCAGGCAAATTGAGATAAAACATAAAGCAGCCGGAAACACAAAGACATGTGAGGATGAAAGGGGGCTGCTCAGCAGGCACTAGGCAACAGCTAATAGAAAATCGGATCAGATTAGATTTAATGCGGCGACGGCTAATTTTTGGGTGATTTCTCATCGAAATGGGGGAAGTGGGGAAAGCGCCGGGAAAGGATCTGCAGCCCCTTTTGAATCCTTGGCGCCATCGCCATCGCTCCAAACCAACAGAAAGCTGTCAGTGGCAATACGCCGGCAATGACAGCTAAACAAATGACACAAATGCGGTGGATGTCAGGCCGAAGGGTGGGGCATTTTGGGGTTGCTTGGATGGATATATGAGAGTATCCAGCAGCTAACTGCGAGCGCTGAACGGCGAGCGTCATCAACATTTCCGCTTCCGGCTGTTTATGCTAAAAGTATGGCGACGACAACGCCACTGATGGTTGGGTGGAGCTGCCCGCCCGCTGAGCTGTCAGACGCCTTGGCTGCCACTGGATTTTGTGCCTTTTTTTTTTTTTTTTGCTGCCCCCCAGATGAGGAGGCATCTATCATGTTGGGCCTGACTTTTGCCCAGCGTTTGGCAGCCCGCGAACGCTAACTAAGGGAACCGAGCTAAGGGAAACTATTGATTGGCGGCAATCTGGCGAGCATCCGCTGTGATTCTCGCCTCTTGATTATCCATCGGAATTTCATTGGCCTAAATGGTCTTTTAGGCATACTTAGGATATCAAAATAATAGAGTTAACGAATAATATCTCCAAATAATTAAAGTAACTATATTGAACATTCACTCTGTATTATTATATTTACTCTAAAAATAAATCCCAAAGTAAATTAATATTACTTTCAAAAATACCTCCACAATTAAACAAAACAATCCAAGGCCTATTAAAAAATCATAATTAAATGCGAAACATATAAATCAAGGAAGCACTTCAAAGCTATTGGCGGCAGGAACCTCAGTTCCTCTTTGGCTTTGAAGCCGCCGAGCAAACGGCAAAGGACACGACCGAGGAAGCTCCAGCTATCAATCACACTCTCCTGTCCCCGAACAGATACAGATACCCTCTTCCTTGCGAAAACACACCCGACCGGGGGAGATGAAATAATTATGCTTAGCTGGCAGTCCCGTTGCCATGGAGGTCCTTTCCAAGGTCCCTTGGAGCGTCCTTTGGCGCTCTGGTTTCATTTACATGATGATGACATCTCTGCTTATAAATAATTACACACACGCACTGCGATGCCGTCGCATACATTTTGATATTTAATTTTTATGTTTTCGTGTTTTGTTATCTGCCTGGCAAAAGGTGAATATTCTGGCAGTGCTACCGTTTGTTGGCTGAGTTTTACATATTTATGAGTGGCACAGACGACTGTGTCCCCCAGGGGAATAAATCCGGTGGAGGAGTGCGGCCCCCCACTAATTGAAAACTAAAATGTCAATGGCAATCTCATCATCCGCCTGCCCGGATCATTCTGTTCGACCAGACATGCCACTCACTCGCTGCCCGGGGTTATGAAATCTGCTCTATAAATATGACGGATGGAAAAAAAAACCCCTGAATTGGGTAGTAATAAAAGCGGGCAAACAGCCCGATTTTTGCAACTCCAACGCGGCTAAGCACATAAAACGGCTTTTCATTTCGAGGGCCGGGAATTGTATCGCCGTCGCTCGAGGCTCCAGTCTGCAACTCCGACTATGGCCAGGACTTCGTCTCCCGGCCGCCGGCTTCCGACCACGTTTGATCCTAATGTGCTGCTGTCAGAGCCCGTCGACGTCAGCCGGACTCTCGCCAGCTATTTCGGGGATTAATGTCAATGTGAAAGGATTTTTCCTATGCATTGGAACTCGACCAGCGTCCTTCTCGCTCCGCGTCTCAGTGGCACTTCCATTTACATTCACTCGGCGAAAGCAATGGGGATTTTCATACATGAATTAAGAACTTCAGAAAGAAAAAAAAACGAAAAGGTTTTTCTAACAACTTGGCATTTTAATGTAATTTTCACTACAGACATTTGGAACTTTAAAATGTGTAGATATGTTTTTATTCTAGCTAGCCTTGTTTATAGTTATTCAAAAATAACTTAAATATTTAAAAATTGATTAAAATATATAGAAATTTAAATGTCAGCTTATTCATATTCCTTAAATCCTAATACCATATTTTTCCGAGTGTTCACCTTTCGGGATTTCAGTAGTCGGGGCCGAAAACGTTAACAAAATCCAGCGGAAAACTGCCCAACTCGCAGACTGTGACACACGCAAACACCTAAGCCCACACACTCGCACACCCGCACACAGGGGGAAAAAGAGGGAGCCATGGCCAAAAAGGAGGAGCTCCTTATGGACGGGCCGAAGCGGATGAACCGCGAGTTGGCCCTGATGCTGGAGGACAAGCAGAACCTGCAGTTCCGCAACCTGTGGGTGGAGCCGAACAACATCTACAAGTGGAGCGGGCTGCTGATGCCGGTGGCCGAGCCCTACAACAAGGGGGCCTTCAAAATGGAGATCGACTTTCCGATGGACTATCCCTTCAAGCCGCCCCGCATCCACATAAACACCAGGATGTACCACCTGAACGTCAATGAGCGCGGCCAGGTGTGTGTGCCGATCCTGGAGACCGAGCACTGGATCCCCACCACGCGGATCGACCAGGTCCTGCAGGTCCTGCTGGCCACCATTAACGACCCGCAGCCGGAGAACGCCTGGCACATGGAGATGGCCGGCGAGTACCACAATGATCCGGTGCGTTTCTTCAGAATGGCCGACGCCTGGGTTCAGAAGTACAGTGAACGCCGGCCCACCGAAGAGGAGCTGGCCAAGTTCGCCCGGAAGCGAAAGAAAGCAATGTCCAAGGATTAGTAAGGATTGCATGAAGTGCTTCTATCGATGTTATAGTAAAAATATTGTAAATTGTTAAAGTAAAATAATCAAGCTAGATAGGAAACTAAAATGTAACCAATAGCTTTCAAGTAAGGCATTGACTTGTTATATAAAGTTAGTTAGAACCACTCACTATAAATACTTGGTAGCAAGTCATAACGAGGAATCAATTACATGAAAAGCAACATAATGTTGTATCCCAGTCCCAACTTTAACTACTAAATCTTATTGACTTGGCAATAAATATCGAGAAAGAGCCTCATTTATTATCCGTTGTGAACTCTATTAAAATCGCATTTCCATTTTGTGTATTGCCCCAATCAACACCCATTTGTCGATGTAGAATATCCGCCACCAATTGCTCGAAATTGAGTTGAGGGACTTTCCGGATTGGGTTCCCCACAGAGATACGACTTAAATTGCCGGCTGAGCTTTGTCTTTCGCCAGCGAAACCGCCCCCCCGTTTGAGGCATCGTCGCAGCATATGACCATCTAATTGGAAGCGTACAGTGAGCCCCCAAGCGAACGGCAGGCAGGACACTTCTGTTCCAGCCAGCTGCGAGATAAATCATCCGCCTCGGCGGCAAACAAGAAGGATGCCACACGCGGCGCTGCTCAGCGAGCGGGCGGCATTAGCTGCCAGTGTCATTGCCATTGTCAGCGGCATATCATCATCCGCATTCGCATTCGCATTCGGATTCACTTTCGTAACATCCGCAACATCCGCCTCCGCATCATCTTCAGCATTATTCGCATTCGCATTCGTATCTGAATCCGCATCACCGTCAAATTCCCGCTGCTGAACCGCTGGAAATCCGTGCTGTGTCCGGGGCCATATAAATTTCAGCAATGAATGAATCAACTTTACGAACATCTAGGACACATGCGACTTGCTTTACGATCCTTCCCCGCCATTCTTCACACGTCGGGCACTAAAAACAAAAATTCCCAAGAAAACATAAATGTTCTTTTTATAATAAAAGTAACAATAAAAGAAGTTCATAATAATTAAGCTTCTAAGAGTTACCCACAGAAAATAAAAAATCTAATCAAAATAATAATGGGGATAAACAACTGTTGAAAGATTTTAATAAAAGCTTAATAGGATATTTCACTTACCTACAAATATTTAAATATTTTTTTTAGTATTTGCAGTTTTCTCTCATATTTCAAATGCAAAAATCTTTATTCGCATTTTTAGGGCGTATAATTTTTCCAATGCTTAACCCCTTACTTTTTCTCCTTGTGTAAACTCTTATGTGTGTGCGTTTAATGTGCCTGTGTGTTTTGGGCAGTTCACTTGATATGCTCACTCGCTCTCTATCTCCGACCAAACTTGGACTTGTCAATGGCAGGAGTGGGAGTTGGGGGCAGGCCACTGGGGCACTGGGGCCTGGGAGCCGGGATCCGGGATGTGGAATATGGGAGCAACCGGCAGGGTGATAGGAATAAGCTGCCACTATAATTACAGCAAAGGCCAGAGGCACACAGAGCCGGGCTAAAGATATTTGTGTCTAGTTTCTTTAGTGCTGGATTTAGTGCCCAAACAGATGGGGCCGGAGAAGTGGTCCGGGGTGGGGATGGATTCCAGATAACTGGTGTCCGGAGCAACCATTGTGAAGATGGATTACCATGGCGGCAGCGTCAACAGTTTTTCTATGTACGACCATGTTTGTGTGGGCGGGACGGGGGAGGGGCGGCCGAGGCGTGTGTCTTGTTAAAACTGCCAACTGATTATTATCACCTTCCAACTGGCAGGCCAGTCATTGACACCCATTGCCGCCCTCGTCCATCGAGGATACGCTATAGTACACTTGGAAATAATATTGTTAATAAAAAGGAAATTCTTTTAAATTATTAATTTCTTGATTTTCTAAACAATTTTCTTAAAATGATTGCAGCCTTGTTTATTTTAAATAATAAAATCTTTTCATCACTTTAAAATTATTTCCTTGATAGCTTTGAAACTGCAATTTAAAATATTATAAAGTACTCTTTTGTGAATTTATTAAAGACAAACTAGTGTTGTTTCCTATTAATTAAAAATTATTACCATCCCTTGTTTAATTTAAAAATATTGCCTAATTAATTTGGTAAGAAAAATGTGACATAATTTTTTTTCTTCTGTTTACTCTCTGATGGCGAAGCTTAAACTTCTCGGGCAGTGCCACGCCCACCGCCCCGAGTGGCGCCCTCTAGTGTCTGTCACTGGCAGAAGTCGTTTGCTGTTTGCTTTATTTCTCTTTCTCCATCTCCACTTTCTCCTTCTCCACCCACTTCATCTTACTCTGCGGCAATGAATCGCAGTTTTTGATTAGCTACAGACAGCTGAAAGGACGAAGGATGAGAGGCAGATGACGAGGGGGAGGGGCAGAGAAAGGGAAAGGACGAATTATATAACAGTGGCAACGACTCCAAAGTTTTTCTTTTGTTTTTTTCGACATAATTCAGTCGCTACTTAATTACAATTCTGTTTTCAAGTTCGAAATTAGGTTCCACATTTTTGGTTTTGTCACGGAGTAAAGCTGCTAAATAAAAATAATACTCTTCATCAGCGAAATTTGTTAATTTATTTAAATAACTTTTAGGCTCTCTGTTTGTATACCTTAATTTTATCGTGAATTTCATTTTATATATCACATTTGCTTCTAAATAGAAAATAGCAACAAAATGTAACTCATATTTGCTGTGGTATTTTTGTGTTTGAAAGAGTAATCGTCCCATTTAAAGTAAAATTGTTTAATTTACTTTGAACATTTTTTGACTTTTTAAATGAAACAAAAATTGATTTAAGCTTTATTACATAGCCGCATAACTGGTCGATCGATTCTGCATTCGTTACCAAAGACGGCGGGTGGGCGGTAATACAACAATTTACGACCTGCGACCCATAAAATATGCAGCTTATAAATTGCATAATTTATACAGGACCTCACACAGTTGGACAAACAAAGTCAGATTGAGATATGAAGCATTGTTAATTCATATATGAACTCGGTTGGCTGCCGGGCCAAAGTGCTTACAAGTAAATAAATGGTGCCAGGCCATAGATATTACACAGATATAGTAGTGCAGATGCAAATACAGGTGCAGATGCAAATACACAGATACTCGGGGATAACTGCTGCAAAAGAGAGCTTAAGCGCTATGTGGAGATATGGAGATTTCTGCTTTTGTTTTCATTGCGGCGGTTTCTGCCGTGCGCACTGCTTGTAAAACCAATAAAATCAATTAAAAGGCACTCAGCATGCAAACAATTATATGCAAATTTATTTATACACACACAGCCAACTAGGAGCACGCAATGCACCGAGACCGAAAGAAAGCAAAGTGGAAAGCAAGTTGGAGCGGTGTTAAAGTCAAAGTTGAAATCGGTTTAAACCTGTCAAGAGTGTGTTAGTTGGGTATATTGCACAGCAGAAGTTTTTAAATTAATTAACTTATTCCCATGCAGATATTTGGGTCATGCAAAACAAGTGTTAAGATGTACAAAGTTTAGCGAATAACATTATGGAAACAAGATACTAAGATACATTTATAAATTAATATAAGATATTTAAAATAATTTAAAAATCCAAAATTAAATTTTAAGCTTTAATGCCTTAAAAACATCAAATTGTATTGGGTATCGAAACTTCGAAGGACTTAACTCTCGAGCTTCCCCGTAGTATTTGCATATGCCGCAAAAAACAAGCTCGCAAATAAATATAAATAAACACAGGCTTCTGGGCAGCAGAAAAATAAAGCAAAATGGCAACAAGCAAAACAACAACAAAGCGGCTCAAAGCAAAGGCAATGAAAACACAGGGAGGCGGGGTAAAGTGGGCGGGGCAAAAGGACGAAGGAAAATCGGGCTGAGTAAACCTGTTGCGCACAACAACAACAATCCGCACGAAACAAACAACAAGAGCAGCAAAAACAACAATACCAGGACAAAGGTCCTGTGAAAAGTCGCTGTTCCTTGCGAAAAGTCGGAACGGAACGGCATGAAAAGGGGAACAGGACCAATAAACCTGGGAGCAAGAGAGCCGAGAAGTGGTTGAAAGGCCGATTGAAAGGCTGATTGAAAGAAAGAGTGGACCAAAGAGAGCGAATATGAGCCGCGCATGCGCCGAGTGAAAGTAGAACAGCCAGCCAAGGAAATTGAAAGCGAAACGCGTGGGAGAGAGCAGAAGTGAAAGAGAGAGGAACGTTTAAGCAACGGAACAGTTGATAGCTCAATTGGCGCTGGCCCTAAAAAGAATGGGGGTTGGGGCGAGAGAGAAAGCAGCCTCGTTAGCAGTGTTCCACTGCCAGGCCGTTCCCATTTACCGTTGTCAGTCGTCGCGTGTGCGTGAAAATCATTAGTCTTCGTTAGGCGGTCTTTGTGTCAACAACGTGTTGCTCTCCCTCCGGTGGAAAGTCGAAAGCCAACAATCGCCCCTCGCTCGCGACTTTTCGCTCGCGTTTTTCAGCTCGTTTATCGCAAGGACTACAAAAGTGTTTGTGTGTTTTTTGGCCCACCATAAACGAGTGTGCGTGCCAAAGTGCAACAAGTCTCGACTGTAATTTAATTGCAACAATTTCCACGCTTTCCACATTTCCCGATTTGAACAAGTGCAAAACACGACTCGATCGTATCGCCCAGAAAGATATATCAGTGTCGCAGTGTTTGTGCAAAGTGGAGCATTCATCTCCACAAAAAAAACCGTACAAGTAAGTTCCGCTTTTTGGTGCAAGTAAAACAGAGGAAAATGGACGAGGAAAGGAATGAAAAGTTCTTATTTGTGCAGCATACATTTGTCGCAGTACACAGAAACAAAGACTGTCACAAGTTAAATTTACCAGAGACATATTAAAATATTCTGCACTTAATTACTTTAGCGTATTTACAAAAGACCCTAAAATAAAATAAGTGCTAGTTGACAGTATTAAAAATTTGAACTGTTAAAAAGTATAAAATCTTTGATTTACTTTTTTTTAACTGTCGGAAATTTTTTTGAACACTAAAACAAATGTATATATTAATTTGACTTAAAGTCAATAAAGTGACTCCAAAAAAATTGATTGGTAATCGAAGTCCAATTTGCCGACATTAACCATTGATAAGAATAAGCTTCATAAAGTCAAAAGCAATAGTCAGCCATTAAATGTGTTATATTATATTTAAAGCCCGGTTAGAAAATCCCAATTTTTTGGACTTTGACAACTTAAACCGAGTTGGCTCTCAAGTTTGGAATGGCAGGTTTTTAGAACAAAGCACTTGTATTTTCCGCCGTGTGTGTGTGTGTGTGTGTGTATGTGTGTGCCGACTTCCGACGTATTTTTTTGTGGGTCAATGGTCGCTCAAACACTCGGAGGAAGGAGGAGCTGCCAGCGAAAGCAAACACACAATAAAAACGAAAGAAATCATGTTTCTATGATGTATACTTATGCGCATTTATACATATTGCCCTGCTAAGTGGGCTAAACAAAGTCAGCGAATTCCACGCAGCTGGAAAACTTTTGCCAGACAAACAAACAAACAAATGGCAGCAGCAGCAGCATCAGAAGCAGCAGAAGCAGCGGCAGCGGTGGCAGCAAACAAAGGCAAACAAATCCCTGGGACATTTCTCGGAATTTAATTCAATAAAATGAATTCCAGCTCTGCGGCACCCAGGGTGTCCTTTTCCACTCTTGCTTTCCCAAAGTTGTTTTTCATTTTTTCTTATTCTCGGCTAAATGTCTGCAAATTAACTTTGCGAAAAGCAAAGAAAAACGCAGACTGAACGAAATTCCATTTGACAAATCGCAAACGTAAATAGATCCCCCAAAAGTGTCTCCAAGTTAGGATTTTTAAATGCAATTTAAGTTTGGGGAACTCCACTGGCCAGTTTTTCACTCCTGTTGGTAAAAGTTGGGAAATTTAACATTAACCTTGGGTCGGTTGTAGCTCTTTCCATCTCTGTGAGCCCACAAAACCTCGTGTAATAGACTCACAGCCAAAAACTAAATCACTGTCATTGCGGTTGGAGATTCACAACCCGAAATACGGACACACATGCAGTGGAAAGTGCACAGAGGAGGTCACAATATTAGCAGTATTCAAAACAGCTTTTATTCAGTGCAAGTATTTAAGTGAGTAATAAAAACTAAATGTAGTATTAGGAAAGCTGACAAGTAAGATTTCTGTGAGCAGTTTTGCTCTTAGAGGTTCACTGGTTCTATCCACTTCTATAATTTTGACCGTACTTGTTAATATGGAGAGCAGAGCCAGCAAGATAAAGTGAAGTGGGTTGGAATCACTGCAGAACGAGGAAGAGGCAACTATTGTTAGGCAATGATTTGCAATTTGTTTGAAAAATGCATTCACAACCACAAAAGACAAACAATCTGAGGGGGAGTTAAGCCGAGCACAAATAAAACCATAAACAAACGCACCGAGCCAAAGCCCAGCTACAGATACAAATACAGATACAGATACAGATACAGTTACGGATACAGATACAACTACTAGAACGGATACAAATACCCGGCTTCAGAGCTGCGGATGCGGCTGCAGTTTGCAGTTTGCGGATTGCTGGATTGCTTTGGCTGGCTTTCAGCTCGAAAAGCGAAAGCTGACAGGGCGATGGAGATGGAGGACCGCAGCGAAGCGGGAAGTATATAAAATTGCAGCCACAACCGTCAATTGCTGGGCAACCAAATGTCCACCCCGCTCCCCTCGCAGCTGGAAAACTCCCATCCCGAGTTCCGACTTCCAAGTCTTAAGTCCCAAGTCCCGAGTCCCGAATCCCGCATCCAGCCTCATCAGCAATCCGCGACAATTCTTGGCAAACTATGCACTTCTTCGGGCGCTCCACTTTCCACTTTCTAGTCGAGCACTCCATCAACTGCTTGGGGGGGAAAATGTGGGGGAGGCAATTGCATATGCGGAACTTGCTGCACCCAACTGCATACAATTACAACCAAGATGCAAAATGTGCACCCAAGTATCTGCCAGATACTTAATAGCAGCAGGAGCAGTGAATTCAGATGCAGAAGCAGAAGTAGAAGCAGAAGCAGCACGAAATGGTTCGGAATGCCAAACGAATTCATATTTGATGTATGAGCCAGCAGCTAGGGATGTTCAAAGGAAATGCCAAATGAGATGTTTAAGCATATTTTTACCATAAAGCTCTGACAGCACAGTAAACTCGGTGTGAAAGCTGATTTGGAAGCGAGGGAGAGCCCGGAAAAGTTGCGAAATTAGGAAAATGTGTAGGAAAAGGATAAAAAGAAATTTGGCACAAATATCATTTGTGTTGATTGCGTTAGGGATTGTTTGGGAAGTGGAAACAGGAATAAAATAAAAAGCTAAATGTAAACACAAGTATAAAGCTTTAAGCGAAACAAAAGATGCAAAGCAAAATATCAAATTCAAAGAAAAACCACTTTTGTAATATAATTCTTGGTACAATGAAATCAAAATTCAAGGGCACTTCAAAAAAAAGAAAATAGTATATGTTAAATCGATAGTTAGAGAAAAGTTGTATTATAATTACGAACATTTCAGGACACAACTCTCACTTGTAGACACCTCCAATTGTGCTGACCTCAAAATTGGTTCCAGCGATGATTGCTCGCCTGCCTGCCAATTAACATGTCAAGTCAAGTGTCGGAAGTTGTTGGTTTTCGGCTCGCGAAAGGCTTTTCCTCTCCGGCCAAAGAGCTTTTCCAACTTTTCCACGCGATTGGCCGCAACATTCTCCGACACGTGTTCCCCGGGCCAACTTTGTTTTAAATCAATTATAAAAGCGGGGAGGTGTTAGCGGTAAAAGTGGGTGGTGGGCGGTGGGCGGCGGTAGGTGGTCGGTGGAGTGACCATTCCTGAGCAATTTGCGGCACACATCCTGGGAATCTCGGTACAGCGACTCAAATGAAATGTCACGCAAGCAAATGAAATGCGAGACAGGCCAAAAGGATCCGGTGCCATTTGCCTGGGAGCGTCAGGAAGCTATTAAATCTACATAAAATTGTAAAAATGTGTGGCATGTTGAGCAATTACAACTCCATGTTGTGGCGCGGGTGGGAAAATCCGGGGACGGACGCACCTTTCGGCTGACATGCTCATCTGAATGCAAAGCCGGCCATGTTTCAGTGGTTTTCCAACCGCCACCCCCATCGCCACCCCCCTCGCCATCCCCTCTCATATAGTTTTGTTCTCGTTGTTGTGCAGCTTAAGAGCCGTTAGGAAATTGCACTTGCCATTCTCCCCGGCCACTCCCCCAGTTTTTCCAGCCCTTTTCCACAGCCCGCGAAGTGGGCGTGTGAAAAAGAATTAAAGTCAAGTGAGCGCACTGAGACTGAATACATAAAACGGGCCAGGGAAATGGGGAAAAGTGTGGAAAGAGGAATGGGGAGGGGGAAGCGATGGGGAAAACTCGGAGGCAGTGAGAAGGCATTCAGTGGGCGTGGCTGCATGCACAACAACAGAAGAAACACCAAACAGCCACCATCATCAACGTCAGCGCCGAAGAAAAGCCGGAAAAATGCCTCGCCACCACCACAACAACAACAACAGCAACAACAGAAAATGGGAAGCCGGAAAATGTGGTACTCTGCATGGCTGTTTGCCCATTTTTTAGGTGCCTTCCCTTGGCGAAAAAGGTATAATTTTCGGCGCGACATTTGACGCGACCAGGGCCACAATGAAATATACAAAAGTTTGCCCATTTTTCCACGGACTTTCCGCCATTTCTGGCCAAAAAGTTGAAGTCCAAGATCCTAATCGCGCTTAGCCTGAACGGGCAATTATTTGGACATTTATCAAAGATTCCCTTTTGGAGTTGGGTGAGCCTGAAGGAGAAATATACGAAAGGTGACAGCTTCTACGAGATTTGCCTTTTTTAAATAAAATTGGAGTTGGTTTTGTTTTGGCAAAAAAATCCCCGAATATATTCAGATGGCTTGAATTCGCTGGAAAGCAACTTTCAAGAATTTGGTTACGATTTAATAATAATAATAATAATTTCATTCACAACTAAAATCTCCTAGGACTTTGATTCCCTGAAAGAGCTTTAAAAACAAGATTTCTAACCCTCACCTTTAACAATTCGAAATCCCTGCCAATTTCCAATTTTTTTCTGTGAAAATGAATTAGCATAAAATACACACCAAAATCAGTTCCGCTGGGACAGCGAAAGGAAAAGTAAAAATAGCTAAAGAAAATTATGGGAAAGGGAAATAGAAGAATGCGGGATAATGGGGCAGGGACACGACACCGGGCAAGGGTCAGGATGAAAATGGCAACAGAAATTGATAAGAAATCTGATGATTCAACTTGTTAACCAATGGCAAGTGGAGGAAAGATGGGGGAAAAGAGGAGATTTTGATGGGGCAAAAAACGGGAATTGATTGGAGCCGAGAACATGATGGAAATTCGTTAGATGGAAATCTATATGAACGGTCACGAATTGATATCCCTTCTTTGGACCTTAAGTACTTCAAGAAGCTCTTTGCGTTTTATAAGGTTTTTATATCTTTTTGATTTTTATTTTAGTATACTGCTTAAATATTATTCATAACTAATGTATTTCTGCCTTGATTTTCTAATTGAAGAAAGACTTATGCATGACTGTTTCCCAAACCGCAAAATCCTTCTGGTAATTTTAATAAATAACCTAAATTTCCCTACCAATACTGAAACCCGAGCCTTCGGCACCGGTTTCCGAGCCAATTGAGAGATCATGATGATT